ATTCCTGCTATCCCTGATCTCTCTAAGACCTTTTTCATGAAGGGGTGTTGGGTTTTGTCAAAAGCTTATTCAGTATCTAGTGAGATGATAATGTGATTTTTCTTTCTCGGTTGTTTTTTATAATGGATCACATTGATAGATTTTCGTATGTTGAACCATCCCTGCACCCCTTCGATGAAGCCTACTTGATCATGGTGGATAACTTTTCTGATGTGTTCTTGGATTCGATTTGCCAGTCTTTTATTGAGAATTTTTGCATCAATGTTCATTAGGGATATTGTCCTGTAGTTCTCTTTCTTAGTTGTATCTTCGTGTGGCTTGGGTACCAATGTTATTGAAAGCTCATATAGTTTGGCAATGACCTTTCCACTTCTATGGTGTGGAATACTTTGTGGAGAACTGGTATTAGCTGTTCTTTGAATTTCTGGTAGAATTCTGTACTGAAGCCATCTGTTCCTAGACTTTTTGTGGTTGGGACACTTTTGATGAATGCTTCTATTTTATTAGGGGTTATAGGTCTATTTAAATTGCAGATCTGTTCTTTATTTAATTTTGGTAAATGATATCCATCCAGAAAATTGTCAATTTCCTTTAGGTTTTTGAATTTTGTGGAGTATGTGTTTTCAACGTTTGAACTGATGATTCTCTGGATTTCCTCAGTGTCTATTGTTATGTCCTCCTTTTCATTTCTGATTTTGTTAGTTTGCATATTCACTCTCTGCCATTTGGTAAGTTTGGATAAAGGATTATCTAACTTGTTGATTTTCTCAAAGAACCAACTCTTTGTTACATTGATTCTTTGTATTGTTTTCCTAGTTTCTACTTTACTGATTTTAGCCCTCAATTTGATTATTTCTTGGCATCTACTCCTCCAGGGTGAGTTTGCTTCTTTTTGTGCTAGAGCTTTCAGTTGTTCTGTCAATTCTCTAGTGTGACTATTCTCCAGTTTCTTCATGTGGGCATTTAGTGCTATGAACTTTCCTTTTAGCACTGCTTTCAAAGTGTCCCATAATTTGGGTATGTTGTGTCTTCATTTTCTTTCAATTCTAGGAAGGCTTTAATTTCTTTCTAGATTTCTTCCTTGACCCAGGAATGGTGCAATTACGCACTGCTCAGTTTCCATGAGTTTTTAGGGTTTCTGCAATTTGTTTTGTTGAATTCTGCTTTAAAATATGGTGGTCTGATAAGATACAGGTGGTGATTCCATTTCTTTTTGTACCTGTTGAGGTTTGCAATTTTGCAAAGTATGTGGTTGATTTTAGAGACAGTTCCATGTGGTGCTTTTGTGTTTTGATGGAATCTTCTATAGATGTCTGTTAACTCCCATTGTGTAATAACTTCTGTTAGTTTCTTTGTTAATTTTCTGTCTGGTGGTTCTGTCTATTGGTGAAAGTAGGGCGTTGAAGTCTCCCATTATAAGTGTGTGAGGTTTTATTTGTGATTTGAGTTTTAGTAATGTTTCTTTTACAAATGTGTATGTGTTTGTATTTGGGGCATAGATGTTCAGGACTGAGACTTCATCTTGATAGATTTCTCCTGTGATGAATATGAATGATCTCCTTCATCTCGTTTGATTGTTTTTAGTTTAAAATCTAATTTGGTAGATATTAGGATTGCTACACCAGCTTGTTTCTTGGGTCCATTTGATTGGAAAATCTTTTCCCAACCCTTTACTCTGAGGTACCATCTGTCTTTGAATTCGAGATGAGTTTCTTGTATGCAGCAGAAGGATGGACTCTGTCTTCATATCCATTCTGTTCACCTGTGTCTTTTTATAGGCAAGATAAGACCATTAATGCTGAGGGATGTCAATAATGACCATTGATTGTTCATTCTTGTTTTGGATTTGTTGTTGTTGCAATTGTGTGTGGATTTCCACACCTTTTTTCTTTTGGCTGTTGGTAAAGTGTGATGATTATCTATTGCCTATGTTTTTCTGGTTGTAGTTAACTTCCTTGGGTTGGGGTTTTCCTTCCAGAACTTTCTGTAGCGTTTGATTAGTGAATACATATTGTTTAAATCTGATTTTGTCATGGAATATCTTGTTTTCTCCATCTATAGTGATTGAAAGCTTTGCTGGATATAGTAGTCTGGGCTGGCTTCCATTGTCTCTTAGTGTCTGTTGAATATCTATCCAGGACCTTCTGGCTTTCAGAGTTTTTGTGGAGAAGTCAGGTGTAATTCTGACAGGTTTGCCTTTATATGTTACTTGGCCTTTTTCCTTAGCTGCTCTTAATATTCTTTCTTTATTCTGTTTGTTTGGGGATTTGATTATTATGTGGCAAGGGGACTTTTCTATGGTTGATTCTACTTGGTGTTCTGTAAGCTTCTTGTATTTTCATTGGCATGTCTTTCTTTAGGTTGGGAAAGTTTTCTTCTATGATTTTGTTGAATATGTTTTCTGCACCTTTGAGGTGGTTTTCTTCACCTTCTTCTATACCTATTATTCTTAGGTTTGGGCTTTTTTCGGTGTCCCATATTTCCTGGATATTTTGTGTTAGCAATTTGTTGGACTTAAGATTTTCTTTGGTTGATGAATCTATTTTCCTAGTGTATCTTCAACTTCTGAGATTCTGTCTTCCCTCTCTTGTATTCTGTTGGTTATGTTTGCATCTATAGTTCATGATCCAGCTTTTCTATTTCCAGAATTCCCTCAATTTGTGTTTTTTTTTATTGTCTCTACTTCAGTTTTCATGTCTTGAACCATTTGAATTGTTTCCTTCATCTGTTTGATTGTTTTTTCTTGGCTTTCTTTGCTTTGTTTAAGAGATTTGTTGATTTCTTGTATTTTTTGGTTTGTTTTTTCTTTCTTTTTTTAAGGGATTTTCTCATATCCTCTTCGAGGGCCTCTATCATTTTCATGAAGTTGTTTTTATGGGTTTTCTCTTCTGCTTCATCTGCCTTGGGATGTTCAGGTCTTGCTGGTGTAGAGTCCCTAGACTCTGGTGGTGTCATATTGTATTTTTCTGTTGTTGAATCTGGTTTTATATTGTCTTCTTCCCATCCCTTCTCCCAGTGGGTGCCAGAGAAGTCTTACTCTCCTGGTGGGTACAGGTCCAATGTTCCCTTCCAGTGGTTGCAAGCAGGTCCAATACTCCAATGGCTTTCCTCTTCCCATGGGTGTAGGTGGGGCTAGTACCACGGCCTTGTCAGTCTCTGGGTAGGCTGTACAGCCGGGATGGGATCCCTGGTACCCAGTCCCCAGGCATCAGTGGTTCTGAGCAGGGCATGGTAAGGTGGGACGGAAATAGGCAGAGAAAGGGACTAGGATGCTAGCAGTCTCTGGGAGGACTGGCCTGAGGAATAGGATCCCCAGTGCATAGTTCCCAGCCTCAGGCAGCTCTGAACAGTCAAATCATTTATTTTACCCTAGTGTGGGAGTTTTTTGTACATGGGTATCTTGTTAAGTTGAGATACAATTGTTTCTTTTTAGACAAAATGATGAGTACTATATTATAGTTACTCTCAATTATACAAAAAATGTGAGTCACATAATTACATTTCCATTTTAAATAATATTTGCAGAAGTGCTTGAAACATGCAGATACAGTTGCAAAGATTTACCATTTTTTCTTAATAAACCCCAAGTCTGCTATATGTGGTTAATTCTCGATTGACTGTTTTCTTCTACTAAACAAATACTAAATTATAGCAATTTACTGCCGGAAATAGCACAAAATATTTAGTATAGTTCACTGAATTACTTCTGTTGTGTCTGTACATTGAACTACTTGCCAATTATGACATTGAACAAGGTTTTTCTTCAAAGAGAGAAAAGGATTTCTTCCCTTAACTTAGAACATAATTGCTGGAGTAAATCTCCGAGGGACCTCACTTCTAAGGAATATGTTCCTGCTAGAGTTGCTGCTCCAACAACCATGGCATCTGCCAGATGGACATGGTGTGCTGTGAACAGACGATCCAGTGGATGAAGCCCTCGACAGCAGGCAGTGGACCTCATCCTCTTTTGCCAACCCATGAGTGGTGTAATGGAGGGATTCTGGGAGTGAAGTTGGCCAATGGTGGAAAGGAATGAGAAATCCTTCACAAATTTATCTCCCTGCTGCAAAGGGTAAAAGGTGCTGGTGGCAGCTACATTGCCCAGGAAGCCTTGTGAGGACAAAGCCGTACAGCGTGTGGATCTGAATCAGGAAGAGTAATGCTCGCCTGAGGTGTGCATTCAGGCTTCCCCCCTGTGCTAGATGAACGGTGTCAGACTGGCATGCATTTGCTGATATTTGTGCTACCAAAAGCATTCTAATATACAAGGGTGTTTCCTTGGTGTAAAACTGTAAAATTGATAATGCACATTGGCTTAAGTTATTGCCCTTGCCAGACCAAACAATAAAAATTCATCATTCAATGCTTCAGTTACAATTTTCTAGATGTTCATTTAAAGAAAGACCTAAGACAAATTTCATAACACTTCAACAGGTAATGAAAGTATAAGAAATATAGGCTGTGTACTAACTAATTTAACTGAACATTTGGGTGATGGATGAAAATCATTAAATAATACACAAATGCAAATCAGTAGATGCCTTCTTTAGCTAGAATACAATAAAAGCAGTATTTTAATCTCTTTACATAAACTTTACAATGATGGCTCATGGGCCAAATCAAGGCCATATCTATTTTCCATACACAACACACAACATCTAAACAGAAATATTAAATATTACAAAAACACCCATGGCTCTAACTGGCAACAGGGCGTGAGAAATGATGACTTGCTGATCACTTTACGCTTGCAAAAGATCTGTCTGGACCACTTTACACATGGGCCAGTCTACCTGTTGATAGCTCTATGTCATCAATATGTGTGACCTCTTAACTACGCAAACTCATTAAAATCTTTCCAGATCAGTCCAGATGTGTGTGATACACGAGGAAAAAAAAACAGGCAGAAATTCAAAAGTAACAGCGCAGAAGTCAATAACCACACATGGTCTTTCCAGCTTCACTACCAGACCTTCCTCTTTAGTGGGCACTCATCTTACCTGCAGCTCTTTCTCTTCTATCTTCCTTTGGAGCACTTTAAGGCACTTGGTAAAATCAGTGTGGTCTTGGTCAGGAGTTGAAATAAGATCACAGCCCTACATGTTCAAGACAGAGAAAGTTAAGAATGAGTAAAGATTTCAGTACATGACCAAAAGGACAAGCTCTACAATAAGGGCATGCTCTACTCATAAAGATGAGCTACCATTAGATAAATCCTCCGAGGCCAGCACTACCCCCTCACTAGAGTCAGCATCATTATCTTTGTCCCTTTTTTCTTTCACATAAAGGGACACACCAGGAAAGAAGCTACAATTATAAGATGATTATGTCAATCATTTTCCTTAGGAAAGTACATATTTTAGCATGTAATCAGGCCCTCGGAGATACTGATGTGATAACATTCAAGATTAACACAAGGACTTTGTACTAGTATAATAAATTATACTCACAGTAAAATTACCTGCATGAAAATATAAAGTATACTTTTAAAAGTTTAATTTCTTTAAGCAGACTTCATCACTTGAGTTACTTGAATAGAAAAACTGACATTATTATTGAACTAGTGATTGCATTTCATACTTTAGGTAAAATTCGGTTAGCTGTCCTGTAAGATTCTTTTATAGTCCTGCTTCCCCACGTGAGCAGCAGCAGAAAGAGCTGTCCCTGTGCACTTATGTGTCTTGAAATTATCTTTGAGACATTATGGAGTGAAATTATAACTTCTGTGCCTTCTTTGTAACATTTCACCATCTGCAGGACACCAAAGCCTATTCCAAAGGTCAAAGCCAGAAGAGTGCAGTTCAACATCTCTTGTGAACTTTGATGGATAAAGATCCTGTGTTTTTGAAAAGACATCTTCTTTCCTAATGTCATACAGAGGCAAAGGTTGTATAAAACCAGACTGGGAGGGAGCTCCATACTTCTTAATCCAGGAATGAAACAATTCTTGGACTCTTGACAAGCAGCTGAGTAAGGAGAAAGTAAAACATAATCCCGTGTATAGAGTTGCCATTCAAAGAGTTTTCAAGGATACAAAACACCCATATGGACTCCTAAATTATTCTAAGAACCATCCTCAGCAGATTTAAGACTTCTTTTTTTACCTCAAGGTCTCTTTAAATGTGTCAAACCCAACCTGTGCGTTATTCATTCAGGACTTCCTTAGAATGAAGTGACCAGTGAAAAAATTAATTTCTTACCATTCAGAAATATATGACGCTCTAAAAGGCATATATGTCATCTTTACAAGATCAAAGACATAATTTCCTGACCCTAAAAGAACATTGAAATTTGCTATTATCACCAAGCAAGGGCATGAAGAAGTGGCTGATGTAAAGCTAACAGTCTGAAAAAGAAAGACATATGCGAGTCACTTAGGCATATTAGGAAAGTGACAGATATGGCTGTCACCATCTCCTACTAATGGAGAGCTCCCTGAGGGTAAGAATTTTGTTTCTTTCTGTACTGCTTCCCATTCTTGCACCTGTCTGCTACACAGTAAATGTCTCATAAGTATTTTCCATGATGTTTACTTTTGCAGCATAGGAACACATAACAAATGTGTTAAATGTACACATATTTATAGATGTTTATAGGTATATTGGCAATAGGTGGGGCAGCATCTTCTTGATAAACATATCACATTTAACAACTGGGATTTGTCTTTCTTTTTTAAAATAGTGACAACAGAACAACCACACAAAGGAGATAAACCTGAACAGGCAAACACAAACAGCAACAGACAATTCACTGACCAGCCTATGTTGAGGCCATCCTTACACAATCAGCGGACAGCAACAGAGAAAATGCCAACTGGCAGGATAAAATCTAGAACCACTGCAACATCTTACACATGAAAGAAGTCCACAACTGACCTGATGATCTTAGTTATAGAGTAATATTCAGCCAGGGCCTGGAAACAAACATTATGGATATTGCCATGTTAAGGGGACACATCTGGAAGCAAAATGTCTTATAATCTTCTTGAATCAGCTCAATGAGAGTGGTACTTATTATTAATTTTTAAAGCCATTTCTGAAAATTGGAAACACCGTGAATTAATTACCCAGGGCTAGTGAAGTCATGTATCTTGGAGACAAATCACTTTAACTTTCCTAACTATATTCTAAATACTATCCTTATACACAGATAAGCGTTGTGCTCATTTTACATCAAAGAAACTTCCCTTGGCAACAGATGGAGTCCATTACAGAGTCCACATCTGATCAAAAGGCATAGAACAAAAGACTGTAGGGTGCCTAGTTCCAAATGATAATTCTACAACACCACTCCTGCATAAGAAGTTCAGGGATCATTGCAGAAGAGGAAAAGGAAATATTGTAAGAGCAGGAAGACCAGGGAGTTTGCTGTGACATGTGCTTCCTTAAAATGTCACAGAAGCTACACCCATGAAATCTTATTAACATGACTGCATTAACAAGGCCCAAACAACGATGACACATTGGGCATGCATTTGGAAGAGGGAAAGCGCATGGGGCCTCAACCCTAGACAAAAAAGTATGGGCAACAGGGGGATACTGAGAGCAGGAGGAAGTCTTCCCTAGGGAAAAGCCTCCCAAGCATTTACCCAATCCCATGGTCTTGAAACCATATACATATAAGTAACATTTCAGGAACTGAACAGGCTATATTTATATATTTGGGGATATACATATATGTGTCTAGACATGTACATACACATATATGTATAAATGTGAGCACAATTAAAAAGGGGAGCATGAATTTGAGAAACAGCAAGGCATATGTGTCCATGGGAGGGGTTTGGAGATAAAAGAGAAGGGGAGATGATGTAATTCTTTTATGATTTCAATATATATCTATTAGAGCACCTGACCCAAATGAGAAAGGCTGGTATACCTGACTCTACCTCATCACTGGTAATGGAACCACAAAAAATTCCAGGTCAAGATGAGAAGCAAGACTACTAACACAGAAAAGTCAAAAGATCACAAAACCAAGAATTCCTAGAAATCCTGCTTAAGGCGTTTAAAGGCTATCACATCTTGGGAATTTCATGAGTATAAAAGAATAAAAATGAAGTCACTGGAAGCAGAAACAGTTACAATATACCTGCAAGGTGGCTTTTAACTTCAGTGAGGAGCCTGCTAAATGAAATCCAGGCCAAGTGCAGTAACAGCTAAATATGACTTCATTGTGACATCCACAGCTTAGGACACAGGACTTGCATGGTGGGAGCTGGATCTAACGTGAAAGCCTCCTTCCTGTAGTGTAGCTCCCAAAGTATCAGGAAATCTTATCCCTGCATTTTCATTGATTTTTTTCTTACTTTCATAAAATGCAGGATTTTTAACAAATTGTTTTTTCTTTTTAAAGATTTACACACACACACACACACACACTGTTCTGCATGTAGAGGAGGTACCAGATCTCATTACAGGTGGTTGCTGGGAACTGAACTCAGGATCTTTGGAAGAGCAGCCAAAGCACTGAGCCATCTCTGCAGCCCCAAAAGCTGGGTTTTTCAAAGCAAAAAAGTATTACTATTTCATGAGGCAGCAGGTGGCTCCAATTTCACACTGCATACATCTGTAATTTTTTTGTCATTTAACAAGTAGATACTTACATGACTTAATGTTACTAAGTTCCCTTTATGAATATGCTACACTCTCATGCTGGACGTGATATTTGTTATTACATTTCATTAATTGTAGTTTACAGTGACTTAAAACAAGAACATCTACACTGAGGCCACAAAGTTCAGTATATGTTGATGCCAAGGTTATTACAATTTTGTTCTAACCAAAAAATAATCTTTGAAGGTATGGAACCACATACCCACCTGAGCTCTTCTGAAGTACACACACACGAGAGGAAAAGTAAGAAGAAAGGAAGCTAGAGCAACAACTTCAAGAATTCTGTACCAGCTTTAGAGTTGACAATAATCTCATTTATCAAGCATCTCTCATCCCATAAAAAAGCAAGAAAAAGTTACATAAACTTAATTATAAATCACCAATAACCTACTTTTTAGTTCTTATTTATGACTATGTCAAATGTCTGCAGCTCTGTTAAATAATGCTATGTAGTGTCTGGAGTTGGGGGCAATAGCTCACTTCTAGAGTGCTTGCCTGGCATGCAGGAAATCTAGTATTTGATCCTATACAATGAAAAAGAAAACATACAATTATTGTTTTTATATGAAGAAGAAGGGGTCTGCCAGATACTAGAAACACAGTCTAGCAGAAATGAAACATGAACAATGTGAATAGTAGCATATAGAATATAAATTACATTTGATTACTCATGAGAAAGAAAAACAGAAAGACATTCAGGCTCCTTATCTCCCTCTTGCCATTCAGAAAAACGCCTAGAAAAGCTTGCTTATGTTTAATATGTTTCTGAAGAAAATAATTTTCAGTTCATTCTTAAATCACAGTTTCCCTTTTGGCAGGCAGTGTGGACATCTGAAGTAATATTTTGGCTTTTGCACTAAGCTGCATTCTCTATAAAATAACTTTATCAGGAAGCGCTGTACTTGGGGAATAAGCAGACATTTACTAATATCAAAATAGCCCTTTTTGCAGGCTTGGATCTGTTCAGTGTGCCAGGCTTCAAAGTAGCATCAGTAGACCAGAAGGCAATAGACATATTGAAAAATTCTTTACCAAAGTAGCTTACATTTCATAGTATGCTACATATAAACAGATATTATAAAATATCTTTCATTTTATAATTCATGCATAGAGTTGTGTGGAATTGTTCCAAGCAAATACTACCTTAAGGGTCTACATTATTTACAATCTCAATCTCTCTGTGTGTGTCTGTGTGTGTAAGAGAGAGACAGAGACAGAGACAGAGACAGAGACAGAGAGACAGATAGACAGACAGACAGACAGATAGACAGACAGACAGAGACAGACAGGAAAAGACAGACAAAGTCGTAGACATTGATACTGAGAGAAACAAAGATCCCCAAGCTTGGGAAAGTAACAAATGCTGTCAATGACATTCTGCATGAAACTTGAAACTATTATCATAAAACTCACCAAAAACAATGAAGAACCAAGATAACCAAGGGACATTTTTGAAGTAAGGTAGTTGAACTTGCCCTTCT